TTGATTTTTGGTTTGTTCTGTTGAAAATCATGCAGAGTCAGAAAACTTGGCTGCATTGACTAAGGCTGGGACTACATTTATGTTTGTCTTTGTCTATGAGAATGGGAATGAAGAAAGGCCACTGTTTATTGCCATATTTTCACTGAATGCTGGAGTTTTAAGATGTTAGAATGTCAATGTTTAGCTAAGATCCCAAAGATTAGCAGGCAGAAATGGGGGTTATATTTTTCATGTTTCTGCACAGTTTAGCTGGAGTAAATTTCCAGTGGCCTGGCCTCATCCCTTTGGGATTTTTGATTTATTCCCAAACCCACTGCACAGCCTCTCAGTCTCTGAATTATGCCAGGCCCCAGACAGTTTTAACTCCTTCTTATGAGCAGCTAAGATGGATAAGAACATTTTGCAGTCTGCACAAAAGCACCTCCTAAGTCCTAAAAGGCAGGACATATTTTGATAACCAAAGTGAGGAAAATAGAATAAGGCTTTAAATAGACCAGGAGTTGCTGGAAACCCTCTGTGTGTGTAAATTCTAAAGCCCATTATACCTTACAGAAATGACAGCACACATTGGAATTGCTCTCTGTAAACTCAGGACTCTTGTTTATCCTTTAAATTCAACTGATGTGACCAAAGAAGGACTGGTGTTGCTGTTTCAGATTTTTTGGGACTGAACTATCTTTTGGCAGCACTGAGATTTATTAGAACTCTTGGGTCTCATTTACTTGAGGACTTACTTTGCACATACCTTTGTTCTTTTCTTTCCCTCTGTGCTTCTTATTAAGCTGTCAACAATTATCTCCAGGAGCTATCCGAAGGCCAGGATTTTTTTCCTTGCCAGCATAATATTTCAGGGGAAAAAAACCACTGTATCTCTGTTTAAGATTCCCTTTTGTTTTCCCACAATTAGCATTAATAACCCCTGCAATTTCAGAAAGGAAAAATGAGAGAAGTTTGAAATGTCATGTTGTGACTCAATAACAAAATTGTTGGGGCTTAAATCAATGCATCCTAAGGCATCCATAGGCTGGGTCTGGTTGGGAAATTCCAGTGAAGGAGGGTTTTGGATGAAATGGGGATATCTCTTGAACAATTAATCAGGAAAATCAGTTGATGTATATTGAGAAAGGTAGATTGCTGAGATATGGAGAGGTGAAATAAAGATGAGAAAATAAATTTTAAAAGAGACCAAATAAATAAAACAACATGAAGTGCAGAGAGTGTGTTTTTACAACATAAATTGAGGATGTACATTATTTATATAACAAAATAATATTATACACATCAGTTATTTATCTTTGTCTTTCTCCCTCTCTAAACTTATTAGTGCCAAGTGCATCTGAATATCATAGAATTCTCTTTTCAAAGCCACGTTCAAATACATCTCTTTCCACTGTTGTTGTGTTCCCACTCTCATATGTCACACACCATACTTTAAAAAAGGATGTAGGACACACAGGGGACAACATAAAGAAGTATATAAGTATAAAGTGGTTTTACATGACCTTTAATGACATCAATTGGGTAGGCACTACACATAGGGGGTGTGTTTATTGCAGGGATTACTCCCCTCACACAAACACTGGAATTCTGAGCAGCTGAGTCATTGAGGAAACGGGGCAGGTTTTGAGAACGGATCCCTGGCCATTGACGTAGATGTGAGAATAGAAACGTTTGTGTTTTACGGGAAGAGAACATCCTAAGGAGAGGGCTGGGAAGGAAATCCAGCCCAACAGGAGCACACAGCACGTTCATCTCTGGCCTGGCTGGCCCAGGAGCTCAGGGAACACCAGATATTTTAATTATAACCCAAGCAGACCGTTCAGCCTGGGTTCTGTTACCTGGTGAGAATGGGACATTCTGACATGCACCCCTCCCACTTTCTCTCTAATTCCAACAGGAAAATTAAGTCACTGGGAAGCAAAGACACCCACCCACAGGCTGCTTGTGAAAAATCTGTGAGACTGCACTTCTACCAGCTGAGGGCCTCATATTTCCCTGAAAGCATAAACAGATTTTTGGGGGAGGAAATAGCAATATCCACAGCAGTGAATGGAACAACCAGCACGATTTTAAAATATTAATATTGATCCTTACAAATACTTATTCCCCTTTATATATCTCCAGCAAAAGGGAAAAAGTAACAAAAGGCTTTTAACAAAGTCACAGGGAGTATTCAACAGCTCAGAGTTTTAGCTCCTGTTCTGCATTTGAACACAAGCATTAAGCTCAGATTTTTGGAGGAGTTATTTGGAAATCGTTGCATTTCTTTGCCCACTCCTGATCAGTCCTTTCCAAAAGCACCACATTCCCAGTCACAGGATGTGTAGGAACAATGTTCAGTTTCCCCAGCTGAAAACTGCCTGAGAGTTTTGTGCCAGCACTTGCAGCAGCAGCAGCAGCAGCAGCAGCAGTGTTTATGTGCTGAATTGCCACTGGATGAAAGATAGAGAAGAAAAGTTTAGATTGGCAAAATCCTGCCTTCAATATGCAAGTCAAGATAAAATATGTTTTTTACAAGAACAGCTAGGCAAAGAATGAGAGAGGAATCAGATACTCTGAATTGATTTGTTTAATTACTTCAGACAATGGGCATCCTTTGTGGTTTTCTGTTTTCCAATGGCCTAATTCTAAAGCTTTTAAAACAATTGGAGAACTTTCAGGGATTTTATTTTTCATATAATAGTGGGAAAAATGACCAAAATATTTCAATGTTTCTATAGAATGAGACACAGGCAGAGACTATCGAAAATACTTCTCAGAAGTAAACATTTTCCCCTTTTTTTTCTTTTGCTTCCTTTTAGCTTTCTCAGTATTTATCTTTTTTTTAATCTCACCCCTATTCTCTATTGTGCAGCATCTAATTTATGGATTGAGTCTCATAAAAACAGCTCTCTATTCCTGATGCATTTGCCTAAGTTTGTGCAAAGCAAATTTTTTCTCCTTTAACTGCTCCAAAATACAACTCAGGGGCTAAGTGAAGAAGCCAGGGGTGCAGTCCCAGTTTAGTTTTGAGCACCTTGATGTGGAACACACATGGCCAATGGAAAACAGAGATTGCAATTGTATTTTCTTGGGGCTGTTGGTTTTCAGGAAGGTATAAAATCTTCTGTCACTTTTCAGGTGGTCTGTATCCTTTTTGTCAGGCAGATGGGCAGTGCCCCTTTTTCCCTGCATGGAAATGATCCTGGCCCTGAAGCTCCAGGAGAGGATCTGGCAGCCCTGCCTGCCAAATTTTTGCATCCTGGGATAGCAAGGTATTAAAAAAAGGACTTTTATGGGCAGCAGAACAGGATTGAAATAAATCTATTTAGCTACTGCAGAACACAGGCAGTGATGCTGATACCCACATGTTAAACGATTCATTGACTTCTTGCTGTGACCCCATTGACATTTGCAGCTCTGAAACAATGATTTCTCATACTGATATTGAGAATTCATTTCCCAGAGCAGCCCAGCCCATTTGTTGGCTTTAATGACAGCAGTTCAGGAAAAGCTGAACTCTTTATTGTGCTCTGAGAACCTCATTCAGAGTCCATGGAAGCAATTCCTCTGCAGGAAAGACCACAAATTAAAAAAAAAAAAAAGATATATTCCTTTAGTTTCACCTTTTCCTCACTTCCTTACTTTTCTCTGTTTGGTCTTGGCCTACAAGTTGTTCAAATTCTTTTTTGGAGGAAGAGAACTCTTTTATAGAACATGTGGCTGAAGCAGCCTATGGTAAATCTTAGTTTTAATCTCATGGTAATGTGAATCCTCACACTAGATGAAGACTCTTCATGTGTTGAATGAGGGACACCAACCATCCACAGGCTAAGACAATGCACTGAAGGAACAGAAGCTTTCCTAGAAATAATTTTCAGTGGAATTAGAGAATTTCGGAGGAGAATTTGAAAAAAAGTCAACCCAAAACTGCCTTGGCCTTGCAGTTGTTTCATGTTCCTGTGGGCCTTTTATATTGTACAGCACTGGGAGTAAAATATTTATTTATAATGTAAAAACCCCTTGAAAAAATTGTTTTCCCTTGAGATGACCATGATAAATTTTATTTCACTGCTCCATTCACTCCAATAGCATCTCATAAAATAATTCCTGCCTTACCACACTATTTAAACACAAAGTGTTTTATTTTGTTCACAAAAGCAAAATCCTTCCTTCCCTACAGGGAGGAAGGAGATTTTACCTGGTTTTCCAGCCAAGATTCCTGAGCACTCAGCACTCAGTTGGTGCTGTGGTTAGGTTTGTAAAAAAAGTACAGACTGGGCATGTGGAGCATTGTGCTGGATGCCAGGGGTGAGGGAGGGTGAACTGGGGCAGTGGTGGCCATCCAAGGATGTTGGATTTTGGATTTTGGGTGTTGCAGCTGCCAGTTGGGTGCTGCACTGAGCAGCAGAGGTGCTCACAGCTGGCACAGCTGCAGCTCTGTCTTGTGGGTACAGAAAAGAATTGTTGTCATTTGTTTTGGCCTCTCAAAATGAAAAAAAAAAAAAATTACTTGTAGTTTAAGCATTTTGAGCTCTCCTGAGACTTCCAGAATTTGCTTTTTCATCTGGCTACTTTTCACTTTAAAGCATACACATTTTTCAACAGCTAATATTTTCCTTTGCATAGCTATATATATTCCCTCCCCACGTGCCAGAGAAGCATGTGCCCAAAGTGAAACCACACACACCATTTCACTCAAAATCCTCTCCATGTGCATCTGCTTCTCATTAGATTTTCCCTCTGCTGTATACACAGACTTTCCTTTAAGAAGTGTCATTACATTAGTTTGTGTTACAGGATTATTTTTCGCTCAGCTGTGCACCAGTGAGGTGACCAAACACTTCCTTTGGAATTTCATGTGGGGTTTTGAGGACAGAATTGGGCCATCACCTTTGTCAGCAGCACACAGATATTGGGGTTACATTTCCTAAATATAATGGATATGTGATGTGGTTGGTATCTATATTTTCTCAGCATGCCAAAAGCTTCTCTGTGAATGCACATATCAGTGTCTTTACCTGTGTCTGCCCGAGCTCTGCATCTGTCCCCAGGCTCCTCCTCACTGAAATTTATTTAAACACCTGCACAACTCTGGTTGGGAAGCATTTCCTCACTCTTGCTCGTTTTCTAATCTTCTGAAATCCCAAATGATTTACCTAGAATGCAAAACAAAATTGCATAACAGCAATCAGGTTAGGAGGGTGTCCAAGGGACCAGCTGGACTAATAAAATCAGCTTACTATATGGAATAATGCTGTAAATATTAGTTATAGGTTATCAATGCCACAGTATTGATTGGAGAATAAATAAATTTTAAAAGGGGATTTTGTATTTATACCTGCACATTTTAACATATAGGCATTTCTATAGGAAGTTGTGCTGCCTGAGCAAAGCAAAAAGAGTGAGAGAAGGCAAAAATTAGGCTTGATTTAAACATTCATTAAAAATAAAATATGGCAAAGAGCAGTGTCATAATGCACAATGGTGCTTTGGGATTAAATTCAGTGATCACTGAACCATCAGCAAAATTCATCACTGCCTTGCTGCTTCTAAATAAAATGGGGAGAAAAGAAAAAAAAACACCTTTAAAATTTTTTTCTTCAAGGTAATTCTCTAGGCTTTTTATTCATACTAATATTTTCCTTAAATCTACTGAATGTACACATCAGTTATTGGAGGGTTTCCCTCAGAATTGTTAACTGGCTAGGAAATAACAGACCTTATCAACACAATTGAATTTTAAAATAATGTTAAATGTTCATATGTCTTTCTTTAATAAGACATATTTCTTACAAATAATTGCAGTAAATTTTGGATGCATTTGCCAGTGGTTTTGAGGTGATTTTTAATCTCTGCCTTCTGCAGAAAGATGAAGGTCAGCATATAAAAATTCAAAGCTGGATGCTTTTTCATTCATCCGAAGAATGAAAACTAAATGAAATTTTTATAATTACTGGACAGAACAAAATGTTGAAGCTTGAAATTAAATATTAACCTTTGCTTATAAAATTTGCCATAATCTACACTTTGAAACTGTACATGTGAAAAAGCAAGATTATTCCAATCTAATTCTTAAGCTGATTTGCATAATTTTAACATTTTTAATATCTAACATTTCAGTAGGTGGTGCCATAAATCCATGAACTGTTGTGCTATGGCAAAATTCAGCGTAGTAAAAAGTAATGACTTATAATTTCAGGAATGGCAACGTTCAATCCAAATTTATTGTGCTCATGAAAAAGCAAATCCACAGAGTCAATTTTCAGAGTTTTGAGTGAGTTCTTGATATAAAGAAACTGCAGAATCTTGTAGGGAACTGGTCATTAGCTTGAAGTTTTACATACATGTTTCAGAATTCTGCTGACTGTGCCTGGAAGTGCTCATTTGCTGAGTAAAGTCGTGAGCCCTCAGCAGATTGAGCATTTCCTTTAAAAGGTGCTGACTCAGAAGTCTAAAAGGATTTGAACAAAGAACATTCCTCGTTGCAAAATATGTGCAGGGAAACCACATGGTATTTTACACATGGAAATAGAGGAAAATGGTAGGATGGCACTGTTGAAGAAGCAATAAAACTATATTTAAAAGGCAGTGAAAATCAACAGAGGAATGGGATAAACTTGTTAAATGGGGTTCTCAGAAACTGCAGAAAAAACAAGATGAATGCAGGACAAATGCAGTACATGGATTTTCTTGGACATACTGCCAAAAGCTTTGGAGTTGACTTTAGCAGGTCCACAAGTTTGCAGGGTGCAGGGTACCTTTGAAAATAGAACTTCATATGCAAAACAAATGGTATTTCTACAGCTCGACTAATCCTGGAACCTATTATCTTGAATTTTACTAACTCCAGACACCTACATAATCTCCCTATATTTATGGGCAGGTTTATATATAAAAATACATATATGTGAATAGATGGATACCTCAGAGGTGTTTTTGGTGCTGAAAAACATCCTTCTCTTATTGTAGAAGCTGCTTCAGCTTCCTGCTGGGCCAGTGCCTCTGTGCTGGAGGAGAAGAGTCTGAGTCAGTGTCTGGAAGGGCTTTCTGAACACAGCATTTGAGGGCCAGCTCCCCAACAAGCACCACTTTGTAGGATTTGTGCATGTGGCCCAAAATAACACCAGTGAGAGCACAAAATGAAGGTGTAAAAGGATTTCTACTTGCTGGCCTTTCAAGCTGACCTTTGGGGCCTGTGAGGCAAATCTGTGCTTTTTGCTTTGACTTTTATTAGTTAACTGCAGGTTACAGGGAAGGTCTCATTAGCTCAGTCCCCTGAGGAGGTGGGTGGAGAGTGTGCAATTATCTTTCCAGCTTCAGGATGCTAAAACCAGGTCCTCCTGCAAATTTGTTCTCATCCTCCTCAGAGGCTAAATCTGCTGGGAAAGATCTGAATCCCATTTTCATGCATGGTTTTGTAAGTCCTCTGGTCATGATGGGCACTCAAGCAGAGCTCCTGTATGTTCCTGTGTATATTTGGGGAATGGAGAGGAGGTGAAATAATTTACATGGACTCTGGTAAATAAATGTAAAAACTGTGCAAGGCCGAGTATCCAGGTGCTGGCTGCCAGGGCTCTGCACATCAGAGACTTCTTAAAGTCTCTTTATTTTTCTTTTGAAGCAATTGTTTCATTACAAAATATCTATAAGCTTGATTTAAACAAAAAGACAATTTTGAAATTGCCAGGATGAAAATTAACTGGGTCTTTTTCAATCCAAAAGCATTAAAAGAGTCCTTTCCTTAGAAAATTTGAAAACTCTGATGTTGGTCCAATTGAATAGTATTTTCTTTCTGTTTGCTGAGATCTGCCAGAGAATCGAGTACACGTGTCAGAGCTTTGGATTTTTAAACAGTGGATAGATGCCTGAAACAGAAACAAACTTAGGAGCTAATAAGATCATACAGAAATAAAAATGGCAAAATATATATAGTAAAATTCAACCACAGCTCGAGGCCATTCCCTCTCCTCCTGTCCCTGTTCCCTGGGAGCAGAGCCCGACCCCCCTGGCTGTCCCTTCCTGTCAGGGAGTTGTGCAGAGCCACAAGGTCCCCCCTGAGCCTCCTTTTCTCCAGGCTGAGCCCCTTTCCCAGCTCCCTCAGCCTCTCCTGGTGCTCCAGACCCTTCCCTGGACACACTCCAGCCTCTCCATGTCCTTCTTGCTGTGAGTGCCCAAAACTGGACACAGCACTCCAGGATGAGAGAAGAAGGTCCTGCAAGAGCCTCAGCAAAAATTCTTCCTGGTGGAGGATTAATGATGACTGAAGAGAAAGAAATCTGTGATGGCTTTGTCCTTGTGGTGCTATTTGCCTTTAAATCCATTCTCTTAGCTTGAAGCAGGAGGAACCCCATCTCTGCAGTGCAATCAGGCTGGTCCTTGGTGTGGCTGTAACCAAATTTTTCTCTGCCAGCGCTCACTGAGGCTGGTGTGATGCCAGCCTTTTGTCCTTTCTGTAATGTGACCTGTACATGGCTATTTTATTACATATGGTGAAAACATGTGTTTTTCTGTCCTAGCAGGTGTGAAATCCACATTGTAAGAGTGCTAACAGTGAATTGCTTGGATTTGCCCAGGCATGTGCCTCTGACTCAGTCCAAACACTGACAGTGACAAAGCTGTAATCGTTTGCAGGCTTCACTTCTGAGCAGAGGAAATCCCACTCTTTGGACTCTGAAATGTGATTCCATCGGACTCCAGAGCTCAGAGAGAAAATACACCTGGTTCCAAGGGTGTTCAGCTGGAAAAAGCCTGTACCTGTGTGCTGGCTTGACAGGGAACTGGGAGAAGAGCTGCTCTTTGCATGGAGAATTCAGCCTGCTGCTTACATGGATGCTCCTTAGCAACCCTTTAATAGATAGAAAAACAAATCATTAATTAATTAAACAAATATCGTTTACACCAATATATCTAACTCGTCCTCTCCCAAGGGGAAAACCCCCCCAAATCTTATTTATTGATTCCATGCTGCCACTGAAAGAAGAGTGGTAAATTTTACGTATTAAGTGTAAGGCACAAATCTCATTTTTAGGAATGTTGATGCAACCTGCTTGTGCAGTCTAGTTGTTATCCAAGTGTCTGGTACCTGTTTACGAAATATTTTAATTTTCTAGGCAGGCATACGAAGCCAAATTCAAATTTGTAATGATGAAAAGTGGATGATTGATAACTTCTGTGCTGCAACAGCTGCTGTGAGCACATGTGATAGATGGGATTTCATCACAGCTTGAGATCAAAGTATTGCTGTCATTTTCTGTATATCTAGACTATGTGAACATCAGTTATTTAACCTATTTTCTAACATGAAGAATTATTATACTAAAAATATCAAAATATAGTAAATATTGGGAACTGCCTCCAAGCCAACTTTCACAGGGAGGCATAAACCAACTCAGGAAGGCCATAACATCTAAGTTTGAATAAAACTCTTTTATTTAATATTCTTAAGAGTATACTCTTACAAATAACTGGGGTAATATGTTCATAAGTCACTATTTACTGGTAATTCTGTGACTGTGGGCTAGGATTTTAAAAGAAAGGTAAGAAACTTGGACTCCTGTTCAACCAGAGTGGAAGTTAGGCAGCAGGATAGCTTGTTCCCATTGGAAAGCTGAGTGATAATCCCCATGTTCAAATGCCTCTGAGTCATTATTTTCACATCCAGTGCTCTGTTATAATAGAAATTAATGTGTCAATATTCTTCCTGGCTCAGAAGGCTTCTTGGAAAATGTGGTTAAATTGTCCCCTTTCAGTTTCTTTCCCATTGAGTTGTTGCTCCAGGTGTTTTTCTTTCTTCTCTTCCTTATACTTAAATTATGACAATTAGCTTTAAAAAAGGGAAAGGGAGAAGGAAAAACCAAAATAAAGGTGGGCAGCGAGAATTTTGCAAAGCTGGATTTTAACTGGGAGCTCCAACAAGTGGTAGAGAAACAGGGTTAATTTTTCCAGCAGTCTGGAGGAGGCATGGACATGACCTGGTGGTTATTTTATACAATTTCATGTCAGTTTTGGGGATGGGGGAGTGGTCCCTGAAAGGTTGTGTAATGTGGTAAGCAATTCTGAGAAAAATTGAGAGAAAGAAAATTAATGTAAGAAGTTTGTTGTAGTGGGTACTGTAAAATTTTAAGCTCTCATAGTCCACACCTTGAGAAAGAAAAAACAGAAAGGAAGATTTTCTGTGACTATAAGAGTGAATGGTAGAACCAGTAAAGTTTCAATGTGACTTTAGAAATCAGAAAGATTGAAATCTATGCACAGAACTCAGGAAATTATCTTTTCCTGGTCCCAGAAGGGTCAAGATTCATCTCATTTGACCTTGGCTGTTTATCAAGTAGAGCCAACATCCCAACCAGGAATCCCAGGCTCATTTAACTGTCAGAGGAGAACATGAGGATATTTTAGGATTTCCCTGACCTATTCTAGATGTTTACTACAGGATGAGATGTGTAGTGGCCTATATTCCATTGACTGAGTGAAGTCAGAGTGAATCAAAATACCTCCCCCTTAAACCTGCAGGGAATAACACAGAGAAATTCAACTAAAAATAAAACAACATAATTTGCTGAATTTACTGATCTCATCTGGAAGCAAGAAATCTGGAGATGTTGCTGCTGATAGCCAAATATTGCTTCAATATGAACTTGTCAAACCTTTGATCTTCCCCTGTGTCACCAACAAAATAAGAGTGCCTTTTGAAAAGTTACAAGTATGATTGAGAAACTCAAGGCCCCTGTAATGAGTGAGGTGGTGACACTGAAGCAGAGCTCAGGGTGGATGCAGGGGGTGATCAGGATCCTGTGCCATGCAGGACCAAGGAAAGAGGAAAAAAGTGCTGTTATTTTGCAAAATTACCATGCCCACTAAATCTGACTAAAGGGCAGCAACTCGTCAGTTAAAAGAAGTTTGGCCTCAAGGAAGAAAATCCCTGTACACCAATTTGTGCTGCAGTATCTGTGCATGGATATTGCTTTTAAACTGTACATAATCCCTGTTTTCAACAGAGTACTATGGACACCCCTGTAATGCACACATACATTGATTTTGTTTCACCTCAGTTTGTTAGTGAGCTGGGACATAGCAGAACAGAGGCAGGGGAATGAAAACACTACTGACCAAGCAGTATCTTGGTATTTGTTGCTCTCTGTAAGTTGCTTTTATTGCATACCATTGGACTCCTATTTTTTCCTTTTAAGTATGTGTCTTTTTTAGAGGAACAGCAGTAAACTTGTTTTTTTCCACTTATACTTTAAAGCTCTCTGTGTTTAATAAGAAATGGTCATTAATTCTTGTGTGACTAACACTGTGGTCTCTTGACTTCCTGTAAAGTGCAAATAAAACCCTCAGGCCAAACTGTAAAGTATTTAATTTCATTGGAGACATCATTTTAGTGTTACTCAGGGCAAGGTTTAGCCTGTTGAAAGAGCAAACCTCTGGTTTTTTGGTCTTTGCTTGACTGCCCTGGTTTCAAAGCCATGACTTGTAGTTCTTGTGAGAGCAGAGTCGTGCTTGTGGCAGGGACTGAAGCCACACAGAGTTTTCTCAGTCCTTTAACCCTTTCCAAGGGAGAACACACTTACCTGGGATAGTTAGGAAGCACTTGTTACTGAGAATAATATTTCAGTACCCACTATTATCTGTTGTACTGGTATCAGAGAAGGAGCTGAGGGAATGCCACAGGTTTTTTAACCTGTTTGCAACCATCAAAGGTTTGCTGACCTTTGATGTTCCAGTAAACTCACAGGGATTTTTCCATTTGAACTGCCACCTACATTTCAAACTAAACTGTACATTTTAATTACCTTAAATTTACAAATTAAATAGTTCTCAAGTTGCTCTTTCCTTCTTAGAGCTGATATGTTTCTCTGTATACACAAGGAAAGAGACACGAAATAATATCTATGCACACTTGTAAAAAACAAAGCAAAACAAACCAAACTAAACCAAGGCAAATAAATGGAAAACGTACT